AAAAAAAAAAAAAAGAAACAGTTTCCACAGATATTGTATTGCATTGAAAACCAAATCCATGAGAAGCAGTTTGCTCACCTTGTAATCAAAAGCTTGATTGGTTGACTCCAGAAAGACAACATGAGGAGATGCCAGATCATTATTTCTTCTGGGTCTAAAACTAATCATCACACTTAGGTCCTTTCCAGTGGCAGATATCAAGTAATCCCTCACAACTTTAAATTTTTCATCCCTTGTCATTGCATGTAAAGATGAATATCTCCCCGATAGTTTCCTTCTACCTTTTTCATGACATATTATACAAGGCTTGGAAACTACATCATAGTAGGCATGAATGGCACCTTCAATATCAAAAGCATCAAGCTTTTGGACTTGAAGAAGCTGATTCAACAAGCCAGACTTCATTATAGTTTCAGCAACAAGTTCCATAAAATATTTAGTGTGCATTCCATCTTTTGCCACAATAACACGTTTAATCCCATCCTGGAATGCTCGATCAACCATGTAACTTGGACTATCAGCAGAACCATCCATGCCACCAAAGATAAGTGAACCGTTTAGGAATACCCGAAAATTATTCTGAGGGGTGAGAAAGAGGGATTTAATTGCATTTTGTACACTGTCCTTGGACCCAGAAAACAAATCCAGTGGATTATATTTACTTATTTGGGATATCTGCATTTGAAGAATCTGCATTAGGTACATGCCAATCTGAACTCTATGCAAATACATATTTGGATTTAAAAATGACACTCATAAACAATCTTTAGTCATCAAAAGCATTGAGGTACAAACGAGGCATCAAAAACATTATATGTATTATCACAAAATGAAAACCTTAGGTCAGATCTAAGATAATTACCTTCCCTTGACGTAGTTTTAAAGCTTGGTGCATTTTAAAGCGAGTGATTCTTTTCTTGACCTCATTTTCTTCAGCTATAAATTCCGAAGTAGGAAGAAATCCGGATTTGGGCTGTTTTGCAGAATAGACGCTTGAAATATATTATACACAATAAAAAAATAGCACAGAATAATACATCTCTAACAGTCTAAAACTGAATGTATATAGGAAGAGTAGCACCTTTATCTCAACAGACACAGAGAAGTCTTCTTTCAGAGTACCTGAAACTGAAAACAAACAAAGGTGAGCAGGCAGTAGTTTCACATATGAAAAGCCATCAAGAAAATTCCAATTTCCAACTAATGGTTACACTTTTAGAACCCGGACTCATCAACTATAAATCAAGCAAAAGGTTCCATTTACACTTATTTTATGTCATTGTATATAAAGACAAATGAGTTGTCCAGTTAAAGCTTCTGATTTAAAAAACATTCTAGGAGGTCACGCAGTACAAATCAGTGATACTAAAGAATAGAACTGAAAGATAAGACGGAACTTCTCAACCCAGCTTACGCAAGATATTTGAAAACATTGAGATATCCATCTTATGCATAGTGTGTACAAGCAAGAATAGCGTCTCTCAAGACCACATAAAGTATCACATACCACGAGGAAATATGGAATGGTCAGCAATGAGAAGAACTGAATCACACAAGGAGTTAACTTTTGCAGCGTCAACCCTCCAAGAAGGACGCTGGAGGAGAACTTTGTTTTCAACTGCCTCCAAAAATTCTTTCGACACAATAAGTCGGATCTGCAAATGCCATGTAACAATATCCAACATTAGATATGCTGGCTAATATTTCACTTTTACAACTAGAAACATAAACGAGAATATAGAGGAAAGGGAGAGGAAAACACATCATAATAGTTTTGATCCATCTAAACACTTAATTCTTCGAGGGACCACTTTATTGGTGTAATTAACAGATATTTTTGTTGTATTTATGGACCAGAGCAGGAGTTCTCGTGATAATTATTATGCAACTAAGCTAAACCGTAGTCAGAGAGGAAACTGAAGAGGTAGAGTAACAGAGCCGGACAACTAGCAGTAACTAAATAATACAAAAAGGTACATGAATTATTAAATCTTTTGTCATGAAGAATACCCAGAAATCATTAGATCATACTATTACACAAGGAAACTTAAAAATTTTGCTGCAGTTACTAACATAAAATATAACTTACCCCAGCATCAACATGTTCAAAACCCAGCAATGGGCACATTACTTTTTGCACATAAAGTTGCTCTGCAATTTCCCTATTACGAGCTGAAACAATTCCTTCGAATTCTCCCCACAGGATGTGCTCAAGCTTCGTTAGAGGTGAATGACCATTCTCACATTCAGATCCTTTATTTGGAACTTTTGGTACCCTTAACACCTTCCCTACCTAATTGAAAAAAAAAAA